CCACATCGGTGGGTGCAAAAGAAATCAATGGGTTTAACTATGATTACCCCACTCTAATTAATATCGAGGCATTTTGTGATAAAATATCACACATGAGGGATTAAGCAGGTGATAAAGTGGGGACAATACTACATCGGTGGGTGCAAAAGAAATCAATTGGTTTAAATATGATTACCACACTCTAATTAATATCGAGGCATTTTGTGATAAAATATCACATATGATGGATTGAGCATGTGATAAAGTGGGGACATTATTGATGTTGTTAGAGTAGAGCCCCCGAGCCCGTCGATCTAAAAAAATTCCAACAGGTACTGTGTCCCGTGCATCCAATGTATGGCCCCATTTACGCACATACCTCGCTTGTGAAACAGGAATTTAAGAAGTTCAAAGAGAGATCATTAAGGGCTACCTCTATGTGCCTCCATAAACTTGTCCCCATTTTAAATATCTTGAAAATAAAATGCACATCTCCCACAGCAGGGATAAGCTTTTTTACTTGGAGAGCTTTATACTCATTTGTAAGAGTGAGGTGACCGAACTGTTGATACACCGTGCAGTGTAGAGATGTTTATTCTAGGTGCGTGTGTTAGACTTCCTTGTTGGTTAATTTGTGTTGGTTAATTTGTAAGGAGAAAAAGTGTGCTGCCTTGTGGGTTTGTCCCAGGCCGTGAGAAGGATGTGAGTGTGCTTGTTGAAGTTCAAGTGGTGATGAGCGTCAATAAAGGAAGGGTTGCGGGTGAGAGATGGTAGCCTTGCGAGTATCTCGAATCATGTAATTTGGCTGGGGTTGAGCTCTGGACCGCTTGATGATTCCATTTATATTGTGAATAAAGTTGAGGTTCTACCATAATACCAATTGACAATATGAGGAGTAGTCCAACCTCTTATTAGCCCTTGTAAGGTTTCTCCTTTCACCAATGTGAGACTCTTTAATTACCTTCACATTCTCACATATTGATCTATATTCTATACTACTTTCTTAGGATGCAAGTTATCCTTGCAGGTTACTAGTCGCAGCTAGTTTTGTATCGGCATATCGATGGTGAATGGAGATTGGAACACTCCTGGTTTTTGTCAGAAGAAGACTAAGAATTAAGTGAGAATGTAGGCTATAGAGTAAGCTGCTTTGGTTTGTTCGCTTGTCTCTACAAAAGGCAACAAAATGTAACTTCAGCTATGTTTTCATTTTTGTATTCTACAAAACTTTGAAGAGTAAAACAAGAACAGATAAAACTACTTCTGGTTCTCTATTTGATGCCAATGAATCAAGATATTATTACCTTTCTTTCCTTTTGTTTTTGTTTTGAAAAGAAAGAGTACGATATTTATTGCAGTAGTGAATGAATAAGTACACAGGAGGACAAGGTGCCTTTATATGGGTCTCGATAAAAACCTTGACCGGGATGCATATGAAAAAAAGGATAGAGGTGATGTTTAGGATATTCTCGTTATTTCTTGCAACTAGGGTACCAGAAGCCATTTACTCCACCAACACCTACACCTTAAGCTAGATGAAAGTAGATGTAGGTGGCAAATCGTTAGTTTTGTACCAATTACCACGATATACATGAACTTTGGGTGGTTATGTTCGGGTAGTATTTTTGCAATTTTCCTATTTCCTTCTATATTTAGTTTGAGTGAGTTAGTGTGTAATCATACATTCATCCACAGTGCCGGAGCTGGCTTAAAGAATCTGGAAAGACAGTGGTGCAAACGTTGAGTTGTTCATTCGAAAACACATTGATTTTACTTTGCATTTGTTTGCTCTCAATTTTTGGCTTTGGCCTACTTTCTAACTCTAATACCATTTCCTTACTGTATCTTAGCTAATTGGACACCAAAGCTTCCACTTCGTTGGGAAGTTCCACATTCATATTTTATAAACGACAATTGTTGAATAAAATGTTAAAACACTGAACCTTAATTAGCTTAGGTCCTCTTTTTCTTCAAATGCATTCTTTTTAACAGATGAACAAAATTGCAACTCAAAAGAAAAATATTGAATTGAAGCTTGAGGATGAAATAGTCATCTCACCTTAAAGGGACAATACTGTCATCATAATGAGCAAGTAACTTCAACCGAATATCATTAGGAAGTATCGATTCTAGAAAAACACTTTCACTTCTAAAACTTCTACTCTTCAAATTGTAAAAAAGCACCCTCGCTTCTGACGAATCTTGCCGGAGTAATCTTGAAGATTGGAGGAGGAGGAGCTCACCGGTGTGAATTGTATAGAAAGGAACAGGGTACCCTAACTCCCTCCAACTAAACGGAAAGGTGTTAGTTTCCTTAACCCACGCCTGGTTTTGGTAGTCCTTCAAAATCCATAATTCCATTGTATTCATCTGCCTCAACTGTTTGTCACCTATTAGAGCCAAACACCCTTCCATTTCAAATATGTTCCCAAGCTTGTCGTTAATACCATGAATTCTGTAATCGTAGTCTTCAGGGAGTGGAATGGCTCTGAATCTCTCATCTTAAGGTCGAAAACTGAGACAATATTTTGTGTTGAGTCATGCATCCAATGTTAAAAAAATTCTCAACTATATCATATAGTAAGGGCACAATGCAGCTTAAACATGTTTAGACTTTAAATTAAAGAAATTGGTAAACTTTTCACTCCACCAACTAAAATTTAACTGGTATTGGTGGACTTGGGCAAATTTAGAACTGAAGAAATGCTCTACTACAAGAATTATATGCTTCCATGCTTAAATCGAATTTAATAACTTTAAGGATGAGAGAAATTTAAATTTATAATGAGGACATCCTAACAAATAATGGACTCCAAACCACAAAATTGAAACATACTTGCAACGCAAATTGCTCCTCATAACTCTCATCTTATTAAGGGTACAATGCTATCCTCATAACTCGTAAGTAACTTGAACCCAAAGGGGTCCATTCGTGGAAAACAATTTCACTTCTTCTGAAACTTTAACTCTTCATATTGTATAGAATCACCCCCATATAGGCAGGGTTCTGTCTGCTCAACCGTGAAGATTGGAGGAGGAGCTCATCCGTGTGAATGATACAAAAAGGAACAGCGTACTCTGACTCCGCAACGATGGTCTCATTAACCCAGTCCTGCATTTGGTAGTCCTTTAAAATCCATGACCCCATCGTTTCATGATTCATCATCCTCCTGCCACCTACTAGACCCAAATATCCACCCACCCCAACTATATTTCCCACAGGATAACTAACACTACGTGTAAAACAAGTATAATCTTCAGGAAGTGGGATCAGTATTCTCATCTCCATTGTCGAAAACCACAATGGGACTGTATCCCGTGCATCCAATGTATGGCCCCATTTAAGCACATACTTCGCTTGTGAAACAGGAATTTAAGAGGTTCAAAAGAGAGATCATTAAGGTCTACCTCTATGTGCCTCCATAAACTTGTCCCCATTTTAAATATCTTGAAAATGCATGTCTCCCACAGCAGGGATAAGCTTTTTTACTCGGAGAACTTTATACTCATTTGTAAGAGGACTGAACCCAAAATGGAGTGTAACATGTGCTGTGTAGGACATGCGTGAAGTGTGGGGAAGAGATATAGACTCTCGTGTGCAGGGTGGTTTAGATCTGTTTGATTGGGAGGTGAGGTGACCGAACTGTTGAAACACTGTGCAGTGTAGAGACGTTTATTTTAGGTGCGTGTGTTAGACTTCCTTGTTGGTTAATTTGTAAGGAGAAGTGTGCTGTCTTGTGGGTTTGTCCCAGGCCGTGAGATGGAAGTGAGTGTGCTTGTTGAGCCCAAGTGGTGATGAGTGTCAATAAAGGAAGGGTTGCGGGTGAGAGAGGACCAAGACTTGCATACCAGTTGAATCGCATCAAAGACTTAGAGGGTTGCCTTGCAAGTATCTCGAAGCATGTAATTTGGCTGGGGATGAACTCTGGACCGCTTGATGATTCCATTTATATTGTGAAGAAAGTTGGGGTTCCACCATAAAACCAATTCACAATATGAGGAGTAGCCCAACCTCTTATAAGCCATTGCGAGGTTTCTCTTTCACCAATGTGGGACTCTTTACTTACCTTCACATTCTCACATATTGATCTATATTCTATACTACTTTCTTAGGATGCAAGTTATCCTTGCAGGTTACTAGTCACAGCTATTTTTGTATTGGCATATCGATGGTGAATGGGAATTGGAACACTCCTGGTTTTTATCAGAAGAAGACTAAAAATTAAGTGAGAATGTAGGCTATAGAGTAAGCTGCTTTGGTTTGTTTGCTTGTCTTTAAAAAAGACAACAAAATGTAACTTCAGCTATGTTTTTATTTTTGTTGAATTGTTCAAAACTTTGAAGAGTAAAACAAGAACAGATAAAACTACTTCTGATTCTCTATTTGATGCCAATGAATCAAGAAATTATTTTCTTTCCTTTTGTTTTTGTTTTGAAAAGAAAGAGTATGATATTTATTAAAGTAGCGAATGAATAAGTACACAGGAGGATATGATGCGTTCATATGGGTCTCAATAAAAACCTTGACGAAGATGCATATGACAAAAAAAAAAAGGAATAGAGGTGATGTTTAGGATATTCTCGTTATTTCTTCCGACTAGGGTACCAGAAGCCATTTGCTCCACCAACAACTACACCTTAAGCTAGATGAAAGTAGACGTAGGTGGCAAATTGTTAGTTTTGTACCAATTACCACGACGTACATGAACTTTGGGTGGTTATGCTCGGGTAGTATTTTTGCTGTTTTCCTATTTCCTTTTATATTGTGTGTAATCATGCTTTCATCCACAGTGGCGGAGCTGGCTTAAAGAATCTGGAATGACAGCGGTACAAACGTTCAGTTGTTCATTCGAAAACCACATTGATTTTACTTTGCATTTGTTTGCTCTCAATTTTTGGCTTTGGTCTAATTGCTAACTCTAATACCATTACGTTACTGTATCTTAGCTAATTGGACACCAAAGCTTCCACTTAGTTGGGAAGTTCTACATTCATATTTCATAAACGACAATTGTTGAATCAAATGTTAAAACACTGAACCTTAATTAGGTTAGGTTATCTTTCTTCAAATGCATTCTTTTTAACAGATGTACAAAGTTGCAACTCAAAAGAAAAATATTGAATTGAAGCTTGAGGATGAAATAAGTCATCTCACCTTAAAGGGACAATACTGTCATCATAATGAGCAAGTAACTTCAACCGAATATCATTAGGAAGTATCGATTCTGGAAAAACACTTTCACTTCTAAAACTTCTACTCTTCAAATTGTAAAAAAGCACCCTTGCTTCTGACGAATCTTGCCGGAGTAATCTTGAAGATTGGAGGAGGAGGAGCTCACCGGTGTGAATTGTATAGAAAGGAACAGGGTACACTAACTCTCTCCAACTAAACGGAAAGGTGATAGTTTCCTTAACCCACACCTGGTTTTGGTAGTCCTTCAAAATCCACAATTCCATTGTATTCATCTGCCTCAACTGTTTGTCACCTATTAGAGCCAAACACCCTTCCATTTCAAATATGTTCCCAAGCTTATCGTTAATACCATGAATTCTGTAATCGTAGTCTTCAGGGAGTGGGATGGCTCTGAATCTCTCATCTTTAAGGTCGAAAACCGCGATGATATTTTGTGTTGAGTCATGCATCCAATGTATGGCTCCATAGACGCACACACTTCTCCTTTCAAACTGGCACTTCAGCGGATCAAATGGGAGATCGTGAATGTCTGCCTCTATCCGTCTCCATGAACTTGTACCTAGTTTGAAAATCTTGACCATGAAACTCATGTCCCTTGTCGAATTTAGAGGCTGAAACCTTTTCACTTGAAGGACCTTATACTCGTTCGTCTGAGAACTGAACCCAAAGTGGTGCGTAACACGGATGGTGCGGTACGCAGGTAAATCATGAGGAAGAACTATACACTCTCGGGTGCACGGATTGAATATTCGAACAGGATGGTTGTGATCGGTTTGATTGGGAAACAAGGTGTCAGAAAGGTAAAGACAGACTAAGCCGTTGATACTCAGTGCTTCGTAGAGACGTTCAACATTCTTACCTGGCGGTGTTGGAAGTTTTAGAAGGTGGGTGACAAGAGTTGGACTTCCTTCTTGGTTGATTTGTACAGAAAAGAAGTGTTGCTGCCTCGCAGATTCGTCCCAGGTGGTGAGGAGGAGGTGACTGTGCTTGTTGCGGTAGAATTTTCGATGGGCATTGACAAAGGAAGGGCTGCGGATGAGAGAAGACCAAGACTTGCATACGGATTTGAAGCGCATCAGAGACTTCGCGGATATCCTCGAAAGTATCTGAAAGCCAATAATTTCACTCGGCAGCTCTGAATCCGTTTCCATGAATCTCTACTAGCTTCATGGGAGATTATCCTTACTAATCAACTAGTTTTGTAGAGGTAATGGTCATTGTTTAACCATCAGAAGGCAACCAAAAGGTCAACAGTCTTTAAATAATCGACAAATCCTAAGTTTGAATTCATGGCCATATGTTGAATAACCTGTTCTGGCTGATTTGACTTTTAGAAGGCAACATCCTACACGTTTCTCTTCTTTTTTCCAAGAAACATCAAACGATGGCTACCCTTTCACCAAACCGATTCAAAATTAACGGCTGTTTCTAGACTTCGATTATTTGAAAGGTAGCAGTATATATATACAAGATTCTTGACAAATTGTAATTTACGTGTAAAATCCAAAGAAACAGTAGAAAACTGCGAGCTTCGTACCTGAGACTTCTGTAAAGAACAAGTCATTCATAGTATTTTCATTAAATCAAAGTATATACAAGAAAGTAGAAAGCGAAATGATTACCTTCAGAAGCCCCTCTCTGTAATGAGGAATAACAAAAGTCAGAAAGGCTTTGTTCTCTTCTTTCGGTAAAACATTCAAACGCTGTCAAAACTTTTGCCATGAAATCAAGCTTTCTGTGGGTAAAAAAAAGTTTAAATCATTTTTCTGATTTTTACCATGCCAACAGAGCTTCGAGCAGAATATCTTACAAGACAATTTACAATCTTTTATCATCTGTATAGTATTCATCCCAGAATTTCTTTATCAATGAACTAAAATAATGACACTATTACCATCCCCGCCCGTCGCTGGTGTGATGCTGTTGGGGTTTAAAAATGCTTCACTACTCTGGAGATGTTTATCTCACAAAGAAAAATGTAACGCAGCGGAATTGATAGGCAAGAGAAAGAAAGAATTCTCAAAGTATTACACAAGGTTTTTATTCACTCACAAACTTAGTACAAAAGGAAACACTCAAACACTCTTAGAAGCTTTGTTGCTTCTTCTTACTTCTTACTTGACACTCTCACTTCTTGCTACTTGCTCTCTCTTGGTTGTTACAAATGGTGTGGATGCCTTCTCCTTTTATAGGCATGGATGGAACCTTGGAGAAGCATGAAAACATTATGCTAGAGATATCTAGATAATTCCACTACCTTCCTAAGCTAGAATTATCTACACTAATCTTGTATGTTGGTGGAATCCTCACTATTCTTCTAGACTCTTCCACCAACTTGAACTTTGCTAGAATTCTCTAGCATGTGCATGGATCTTTCTTTGTGTATGGGCCGGATCAATTATCTTTGGGCCAAGACAAGATTACAATTCAACAGATGCCAGTTAGACATTAATTGCCGAGGTTTTCCCAGCTCCATTTAGTCCAAGTAAACAAAACAACTGATCCTTGCATAAGTTCAACCATAAATCCTGAAGATTATTCAAAAATATCAATTGTTACTATACTATTTGTAAGAAAAAAATGGACATATATGCTGTGTCTGCAATATATTGTTTGTCTCGAGCATTATAATATGAATGATGGCTGATGAAAATCTTGATATATAGGAAAAAAGATGCGTGACATAAGAAGAATTGTATGGGACGTCTCAGAATCAGAGTTTCAAATAATTTCGAGCTTCTCCTCTTAAATTTTTCATTTGAAGGCCAGACGTATCCGGAAATAGAAAACCCATATCCCGAAGTTTTGATAGGCGTGTCTGTCGGAGTTGACCGTATCTCTTGACCAGAAGAAGTATCCAACCATATCGATCAAGTAGCGTATCCGATACTACATTGGATACAGGATGCAACATTGGATTAACATGTCTGTGCATTGTAGGTTATCATTCTAGGCAGCTAAGTGGTGCAATGAGTACTTAGGTAACCTGGTCACAAAGTGCGGAACTAAAGCCAATCCGAACCAGATCAAAGCCATCATGGAAATGAAATTTCTTCGGACTGTGAAGGAAATTCAAAGTCTGACTAGGAGAGCAATCGCCCTTAGTCGATTCCTCTCACGGTCTACTAATAAATGCAAGCCTTTTATACTGCAATAAACAAAAGTAAGTGTCTACTATGCATTGATGAATGCAAGGTGGGTTTTACGAAGCTAAAAGAGTACCTATCTAATCCGCCACTCCTTTCGAAACCTGTAGATGGAGAAGATTTGTACTTGTACCTGGTGGTATCAAAGTGTGCAGCCAACGTAGCTCTAATTTGAGAAGACCCGGGGGAGCAAAAACCGATATATTATCTGTCCAAAGCTCTTCTCGAACCAGATACTACATTTCAAAGATGGAAAAACTTATTCATGCGTTGGTGATGATAGTGAAGAAGTTTTGATCGTACTTTCAATATCTGGTCTTCTATATGACCGAATACCCCCTCCGTTTCTATACATAGTCCAGACAATCTTCCAAAATTACCAAGTAGGCCAGCGAGCTAGGGCAACATGAAATCATTTGTCGGCCTAAGATGGCAATCAAGGCCCAAGTACTTGCAGACTTTGTAAAAGAATTCACCTCGGCTAACCAAGATGCCTCGTCCTTCACGGATCAGCGGAAAATGTTGAATAAGAAGAGTATCCAAGATAACTCTAATGATCCCAAGAAGAAGAAAATAGAGCACACTCTTAAAGAAAGCTCA